AGGGACATAGATAGGGGGGTATAGATAGGGATGTAGGTAGGTGTGGATCTGTTGACTTATGAAGTGCAGCCATGTCCGGAATGGTGCGCTAGAGTCTATACGGGGTGAACTATATATATATAAGAGATTCAGAGAGGAAATAGTCTAAGACTCTAAGATAGATAATATTGATGAAGTGGGAGAAAGCAGCCAATTACTAACAGCTCACACTATATATAAACAGATTTATCTATAAGGCTGTACAGCCGATGAATGCGCCGCGGGAGTGTGCGGAACTAAGGCATAGGCACAATAACCATCTTCCCCCGAGCACTTAGCACACCCCCCCCCGATCATGAAAGTATTAAGGCTATCTTTTGGGTCCGATACGGCCACGATGAGGGCATGTTGTATTCGGGGGGAACATTGGTAGAGCCACTTTTTCAGGCGCTACCTCGTCTATATGTGTATGTCTCACCGACTTAAGAGCACCTTTTGTTCTAGTTACTTTCACTTCCATAGCTTAATAGAAGCAACTTGAAGTGTACCTATGGCTCACTGAGCTATAGCTTAGAAGCGATGACGCCGACCTAACTACTGCTATGGCTAAGCTCTCAGGGCTGCAGTTCCTTAATAGTCAGTTGCAGGCATGATTAAAGTTGTTGGCCGGCCATGTAAGCACAAAGGAAGCACCTTTAGGCTTTCGCTATTATAGCTACCTCCGTATCAATAGCTTAAGGAAGCAAGTGTACCTATGTGACGAACCACTTCCCGAACCCGTGCTATCTTTCGTACCCCTTTTTGCTTGTATCCTACCAATCCCATAAAAACCCCGTTTCGTTTTCTTGATTTTGGGTACCGCGTTTTTGGCTCCCATCTTTCGGAAAGCTTTTTTGACTCCCGGGTTCTGCTTTTCCTTTCTGCACTTCGGGAAATACATAGGAAATTACGTGCGCCTTAGCGAGCGCACTGGGAATTGGGCTCGGCAGTTGGGAATTCCGGGATAAGCGTGTGACGAACCACTTCCCGTCCCCGTGCCATTTTTCGTACCCTTTCTTTTGCTTATGTCACACCAACCCCAGGAAAACCCCGTTTCGAGTTTTTGTTTTCGGAGGTCGCATTTTCCTTTTTCTGAGAGCTTTTTCGACTTCTGAGTTCTGTTTTTCTTTTTGCAAGACGGGAAATACATGGGAATTTACGTGCGCCTTAGTGAAGCGCACTGGGAATTGGGCTCGGCAGTTGGGAATTCCGGGATAAGCGGAACTTCGATGTGTCCTTTTTGGGTGTGTAAATGTTCTTGGGCGCGCCGGGGAAAACTTTCGGAATTTCGTCCGGACATGAATAAGCGTAGGATTTTCTTTTCCCGCATCGCTTTTTCGCGCACGGATATGGTGATTTCAATTTTGAATTAGGAGCCAGCTGTAACTGTTTCGGTGCCTTTTTCTCTTTTTTTTTGTTGACGGCGCCGTGCATGCAAAAGCTTCTTCCTCTCTGTCCCCCGCATCACCCCCTCCCGCGTGTGATACGCAACCTCACGCCCCCTCGCGGCTTCCCGTACGGGGTCGCCGATCAGAGTTCTAGGAGGGGCGTGGCCAAGGATTTTTGGCCGTAAGGGTTGAGTCTCTCGGACGGAACGGGAGACTCTCATTTCGTGGCCGAGGTTTTTCTCGGAGTCGAACTGTCGCCGCAGAGTCATGTGGGGGGGGGCCGAATCACTCCGAAACGATAAAATCAAAAAGGTTTCCGCAAAAAGGAACTGCCGCCATGCATCGGGACGGAAAAAGGCATCAAGGGGAGAGGGCCATGGCGGCGGAAGACAAAACTTCGATCATCACGGGTTTGGGGGATAGGTGGTGGGTTCGAAGCCTTCGGGCCTCATCATCGACTTCACAAAGTGTATGAACCCTCGGGTTTTTGTTGTGGACGTGGGTGGTTCGAGGCCTTCAGGCCTCGGCGTCGGACTCACAAAGTCCGCGTGAAAGTTTCCAGGAGGGTAAAGAGGCGGGAGGACTCGTCAGTATCTGAATTCGAAATTGTGCGGGCAGCGCCCCGCACTACGGGAAAGTTCGGGGAAACGTGTCGCTCCCTCGTAACCCAGGACCAGTCGTCGCCACGAGCACGAGTCCCCCTGGCGACACCAGCGACAATCAAACTGCGGTCGCCACGCGTCGTGAGCGGCCGACCAGGGCAACACCGTTAAACCCGTATAAGGCAATATCAGAGTCGGCGAATCAAAACGATCAATCAACACAAACYCATTCCCCCTTATCTCAYAGGCCCGCGGCGGGTCTTGCCAACACACTTGCTCCGTCCGCCTCAGYGCGCGTCGTACGTCCKCATCGCAGTAGACGYTGTCGTCATCTGTGATGGGGAAGGTCGGTAGCGARATGARACGATCGGAGGTACGTGATGAACACGGGCAAGATCCCGCGTTCCCAGTCATCCGAACCAACACCGAATCCATACAACAATCGTCGCAACTTTTTTCTCTCGAAAGYGAGTGCGTAGGRGAGGGGAGATGACGAAATCTAAGCTTTCKCCTCTTGGCGGGGGCGTCGAYCGTCCGCGCGGACGCAGGCGGTTGACGTCACCGGTACRGGGACGATAAGCTCRAAAAGCGATGACTGTCAGTTCCAAGGAAGGCGATCGGGGAAGGGRAGAAGGGAGASAGAGAGAGTGAGAGAGWGAATTWCGYCGAGACCGTGCGARAGCGCAGGAAAGACCGCGGAGGGGAGGGGAACAACCGGATCAACACACTCATACTCCTAAGCAGACGGTTTCCCAGTTCGGTTTCCCCATCCCCGCCCGGACGAGTACATATACACATACATGCATGCAATCAATAACACTCGACAGGAYRTCTAATCATCCATGGACCTTCGACATGACTCATGCGCAGAACAAGCTCCCATCACTCGGGGCTTCACACACACGACATGCATAGACAAAGCAGCAATGGAGATAAAAGCGAGTCCCTCTTGTAGACACAAAAATTTCAATTGACTCCCGTCCCCAGGCGCAGCCTTCAAAAACTTCCCAAGACCACCGACCACCATAGCCACAAGGCCCTGTCGTGGCCGGCGTCCAATCCCCACCACTGCTCGGTCCCTCCGACTGCCTAGCCCCGAGACTACCGCGGGGCCCACCCCATGTCATCACTCCGCCCGTCCTTGGGCTCGTCGAGCCTGTTCGGCGCCGCGGACTCTCGCGCATAGCTCGCACAGCATTGCAGCCGAGATCAAAGAGAGGGAGAGGAGAGGGTTGCGCAAATTTATAGCGCGGGAGGCGGCGGGTTAAC